TTTTTTTTTTTTTTTTTTTTTTTTTTTTTTTTTTTTTTTTTTTTTTTTTAATAAATGTGCACCTTGGAAGAGGAGCGCCATTTATAGGCATCACGGGCTGGATTTACCCGCTCTCCCCGTGTCCCCCCGCCCCATAAATCGCCGAGAAACTCCCCCCGCTCCCCGCGTTCCTCCTGTCCCGTGTGGCGGCGGTGGGGGCGGCAGCCGGGACCGTCCCCCCGGGGCGGGAGAGCTGCGGGGGCGGGAGAGGACACACAGACACAGACACACGGACACACAGACACATACACACACACACAGACACGCACACGGAGGAGCCGCCCCCCGGGGGTGGGGATAGCACGGCAGAACCCCCCCCGCCCCCGGGGCCGCCCTGTCGGGGCTGCTCGGCCCGGCCCCCGCGCTGCGCAGCGTGCAGGGGGACAGGGACGTGCGGGGGTCCCCTCCCCCTGCCCGCCCCTCCCCCACCATGACGTCACCCTCGGGATGAGGGTTGGGGGGAGCGGGGAAGGAGGGGGGCTGGTCTCTCCCGGCCTTTCTGCTGGTGCTCAGTCCCGGCGGCAGCAGCCCGGCGGTGACACCGCAGAGGGTGGCGTGGCGAAAGGGGTCACGCGTGGGACAGCCCCGGGGAGCCGCGGTGGGGCTGCCCTGAGTTGGGACCATGCCACCCCGCCATCGCACCCCATCCTCTGGGGACGGGATACAAGTGTGATGGGGCTGGATGGAGGGCATGGCTCCGATGAGCCTTGCCGGGGATAAGGCTTGTTCTGTCACCTAGGCACCTTCCCGGGACCGTCCTCAAGGCCGTCCCCTCCAGCAGCAAGAGAGGGACCTCAAGGTGCCGGCACGGGCTTCTCGCAGCGCTAAGTAATCAGACAAAACCCCTACAGCCTTCTCCTGTGGCTCTTTCACTGCACAGTTTTCTCCCCCGTGCCCAGCTCAGCCCTGATCTTTACCACCCATCTGTACATCTCCAGGAGCCAAAGGGGGCTCGTTGGAGTGAAAATTAATGCTGGCTTCCCTTCCTCCCAGTTCCCCCCAGCCTGCAGTCCTGCTGTGCTGTCTGCGCTGCAGAGCCCTGGACCAGCTATTGGTCCCTCTCTTTTACAAACCACTCGTGTCAATATTCAGACCCGAATGACACAGAGACAGCAGCTGCCAGGCTGGGTACCCATGGCTCCTATGGGCTGCAAATGCCTGAAGCCCACCTGGCAAGGAGAGGGATTGCAGGGGGTTAAATGACAGTGCAACTAGGAGTAAAGAAACTGGAGGGCAAGAGGGAAAGCTTCCTTGCTGAGAGCTCCATTCACAAAACAGTGCTGGTGAGTGCCACTGCCTCTTCAGGTCTACCTAATGTGTGCAGTGGCAGCCTGTATGTGCATCCCCTCAAAGCCATCATGAACCCCTAAGCTCTATTTCTCCAACTCAAAGGCAAGGGTAATTTTGGGTAACTACGCCAGCCGTCAGCTGGGCCCTGCAGATGAAAAACGCTGGCTTGCCACCTCTGTGCCTTCCCATAATTTCTTTTTGTTCTACCTTTCCTTCCTATTTATAGATTTCCGCTATGGACAGAGAGAAGAATTAGAGGACAGAGCTGGCTGAAAACAAATCTGAGGAATTAAAAAAACAAAAAAAGTTTCATTTTCAGCCAGCTCTCAGAGCCAGCTCAGCACGTGGGCACATGGTAGTGAATGAAGAACAAGGCACAGACCGTGGGGCTGTGTCCCCTGGCAGCTTGCCTTTCCATTCACTCCACCATAAAGCTGCAGCCCAGAGTAGGGTTGTCTTTTACACCCTCCTGAAGACATTGGCAGTGTCAAGGAGGTGGAGGCTAAGCTTTGCACTGTGCACAAAGTTCTCCTTCAAAGCAGCAAAAGTTTCGAGTTTAAGCTAAGGCAAAACACTTTTACCCTGCTCTTTGCTGCTGTGGTGAGGAGGGATTTTACAGCGCATAAGAAAGATTGAAGAAGTTATCAAAATGTGGAACTCTGTCCTTTTCTCCAGAAGGATGGGTTAGATAGCCTAAAAGACCTTTTATACCTCACAGTTGGTGCGTGATCAGCATAAAAAAGGAAGAGGATGAAAGGAGTGTGGGTTGAGGTACATGGGTGTAAACACTGGACTTATCAGTTCTTGGCAGCTTGTCCATTTGTGGCTGTGTTTGCTGTTGAGAAGGACAAGACACCTTTGTAAGAGCACCAGATTGTGGAGGCTGCAGCAAGAGGAATTTTCATTTCACCTCTTTGCCCTACTGAGTATCGTATTGGTTTATTGGTTTATTATTTCTTATTGATTTACATACATATCTGCTATGGTTTTGTCTGCTCCTATTTTTTTTTTTTTTCGGAAGGCAGACGAGCTATAGCTTCAGGTTAAAGGTTGGGCTGGCTCCAAGAGGCTTGGTTGAATATTACACTCTGCAAATCTGCTTTGGAACGAACTATGGGGCTGTTTCCAATGCACAATCAGGAAGAGTTTAATATCTGGCTTTTGATATGTCCATCACTGCCTAAATGGCTGTAGCCTCTGGCAATCTGGCCACGAATCTCATAAGAGCAGGCATTTCTAGGGGATTTCTGGCCAAGCAACAACAAAAAGAGATCTTACAGCTAGAGGCATCAATTACAGAGGCAAAAAGGGTCTGGCCAAATTCCTCTAAATGTTCTTGACTTTTGGGGCAGTCCAGATCTGTCTGAAATTCAAGCTTGACTCCACTCTTACCACCTTCCCTGCCCCAGGAAGGGGCCCACTGCACTATAGATTCTGAACAAAAGCCAGCGGTTTCTGCCCATCTCAAATAGCAGCACTCTCAGCTCTATTGGAGCCGGGGAGCAGGATGAAGTGGGGACAGTTGTTTATCAGTCTGTCCTTCTTTTTCCTTTATTTTTTTCCCAACCTGGTATTAGAAGGTGTCATGTTTTAGAAGGTGCTTGAATATCAGCCCATCTCTAAGAGACATCAGTCTGTGATTAAGGAGAGGAACGTCCGACAGTGCCCTGCTCAGTTCCTGTTAGGACAATTTGCTCATCAGCACGATTTTGCCCTTGTTTTTAAGGAAAATCTCTCCACCCTGGCAGCAGCAGCTTCATGCTCCACTTGTTAGGGTTGGCTGTCGTGTCGTGCCGTGGCGGAGGCAGGCGGACAGAGCCCACGGCTGCTGGCCAGATATAGCTCTGCCAGAGATAGCGACAGGCACGCCGTGGGCTGCTCCGTGCGCCCCAGGGGCTGCCCGGATATTTGGGTGGGCATCCCTGTGCTGCTGCTGCCAGGCACAGAGCAGTGTGCTGAGCAGATGATTTAATTCCAGGTTAGCTCCACCGAAATCATCTACCACAAGGGGACCCACCACGTTCAGAGGATGTGTTTTCTCATTTAGTTTTTTGGCTTGCTGACTGTCATGGCTGAAACTCAAAAGAGGCAGCCGGCTCAAGGTAACAGAAAGATGCTTTCCCCAGCAAAGCTGTCTGTATCCCCACAAATTCTTTTTCCCTTCATCCCTTTTTTAAAATGCAAAATATATCTTCAAACAGCTCACACCATGGGCTTTTTATTTCATGTTTTCAGGCTAGTAATAGGGATAAAACCTAAATCTTTCGTACTGTCAGTCAGAGACTGATTTATTCTAAGCGTCGTCTCAGGTTGAAGAGGAGGGTCCAGTGATCACGGTGATATTTAAAAAGTCCCTCCCATGGGTGTTGAGCAATGTATTCGCTGTTAGCTCATCCTGCAGTAACATCGCCTCTACCAGGAGGTGATCGCCTGCTTTTTCTCTCCCCCACCGTCAGCCAGAGAGAGACCTGGCCCTGGAGAAGCTGATGGAAACAGGAGCCGGTGGCTTGTGCCTCTGCACCCTCCTGCCTCCCAGGTCTCCTGAGAAGGAGGGACGGACTGACTGACAGCCTTACAGTCCTGCAGAGGTGGCTGTCCTTGCTCCTGCTGTGGCTCCCAGTCCTCAGTTGCTACCTTCCCTAGAGCAAGGTGGCCAGCCAGAAAAATACATGCAAATATCAAACCTAGCTGATAAATTAATAGCTGTTCAAAGTATGATCCTCCAAGATTATATTTAAGCAGAAAAATGATGAGAACACACTGAAAATGTGACAGGTAGGATTAAAGAAATACCTTTCGCTACCAGCCAGACTTCTAAAGGTTTTTTTGGGTGGTCTTGTTCATGAGGCACCTGGCTTCATTACTGGCTAGATGTGTCCAACTTTAGCTAATCATAAAAATTAAAGTTATGCACCAGAATTTGCCTCACATCTCTCTAGAAATTAGTACTAAAATGGCACTTATCATTCACCATGAAAATCATTGTCATTTCATGCTTGTGAAAATGTATTTCTGAAATGTAAATTGTTGCTCTGGTTTCAAATACAAAATTGAGAAAGAAAAAAATATCTGGCCGAGCGGATGTAAAAGGAACATTATTCCTTGATATAAAATCTTTAAAAAAATGAAAAATGCTCGTTAAGGTATTTGTAACCTATTTGAAACATTAAAAAATGATCTGATATAAACTTAGAAAGTGATTAGAATAATGGAAACTTCATGCCCAGCTTCTGTGATTTTAAAAGGGGAATTCCAGAATGCCAGACTCCTCCTCTATGTTCTTATGAAAAGCTCAGTCTCTGTGTTCGTTCTTCAATATTTTCTTTCTTTTAAAAAGCAGTCTTCAAAAACCAAGGCATCACTTGACCATGATCAGCTTGTGCCAGCCAATCCAGTAAGGAAAGCACTATCTATTACAGAAAGAGCATTGTTTGCATTTAACTGCACTCCTCTGGGATATATTTTTAGGAGGGTGCCTGTGCATGCACTCAAAACGCTGCTTATGAGCATGACCCCTTTATATTGGATTGTGG